GCAAAAACTGAAATTTTTTTTTCAGCGTAAGAATAAAAAAACTTTCCTATGAATCTTTTTTTTCATGGATGTGGTGAAACACTGAAAAAAAAGTTTTTATTTTCAGGTACAAGTCACCGAATTTTCAGTGATCTATCCTAATTTTTAGGAATCCATCCCCACTTTCGAAGGATTCGCAATTGTGAAACTCAGCGCGTGCGAAATTCTGGAATTCAGTGATTTTGTCATTAATGTTTAGTAATATTACCATTAATTTTCAATAACATGTCCTGCAAATCAGTGACATGCTCCTGAAAATGCATTTCCTTTCTCCGTGAATCATAAAGCCGATCGAGTTACCTTAACGCCCGATCCTCATTCCAAGCGAACTAAAATCCTTGAGTCGAGATGATGCGCTTGACCATCACGTGGTTATGGTCTTAAAAGGAAACACTTCCGACTGGAAGACGCTGAACTAGGATACAGTGGGGATGAGTGAGAGGCAGAGTGCGAGAAGCACCGCCCTTCCTCGTCACGCGGGTTCAAAGGAAGCAAAACAAAACAAAATGATGGGGAGAAAATAATAAGAGAAGCAAAAATGCTGCACGAGGAGATTGGCAAACGCGTCTGGTATCCACATGGCAAGCTCCACGACTTCTGTCCCGGTATTTTAAATCCCACGCGTTAATACACGGCTGGATGCAACGGTGTGAGAGCTTTGGAAATGTGTAGTGCTCGAAACAGGTATCCTCCAGCACATGTGCGCGGGAATCGGTTATGCGTTGGGGAATGGACAAGAAATAACTTGGGGTGAAGAAACGAAATGGGAAAATTGGGTGAACGAAGGGGACTCTTGGAAGAGTCAAAACTGTCTTCATCAGACTCATTCATAATTTTTGGGTACAGGTGGGATGATGGAGGGATTGACGAAGCGTGGCGAAGTGGTGACAATCAATAGTTATCGATTTTTACACGGAGAAAAGAATTCTAGACAAATTACCGAACAAGTCCGGTAATCGTGGAGCGAACTTGTTTTTTGACCAAAATTAATCCAACCGTTTCTGTTGATCTTCAAAAAAATTTCCACTTCCTCAGTCATTAACGGTGATAACAGCAATTTTAATTAGAAATTGCCAACGTTTCGAACACACAACGTGTTCTTCGTCAGAGCATTCATTTATGATATTCATAAAACCATTAGTTATTTAAAGGGTGTGACAAAAATATATCAAACCAAAAAAAAATCACAAAATAAACATAACATCGACAATAAATAGGTACCTGTTGGAGCCCTTCGTAACTGTTACCAACAAGTTACAATTGAAAAGACTCCAATTGTTGTTATGAGTTTTTTAAAATTGATTTTCCGTACTTGTTCACCCTATATCGGGAAAAAAGGACGACGCGAATAGGGAATTTTTCACCGTTGGCCCGGGAAAATTTCCTGAATGTGAGGGTCATTTGTGCCGAAACCGGCGATTTTTTGCATTTCCCGAAATTGACTGATATAATGCACATTTCGACCAACGTAACCGATGAAGTACAGGTATTGTTCCGTTGAATTACATTTCGCTCTACGATTACCTGTCGTACTGTAAAATTTGCCACGATTTTCTAGATGATTTTTATCCAACTTTACTCTCCGTATATTTTACTTTTACAAAACAAATGATTTTATCAAAAAATGTTAAAATAGTTTTCTTGAAGCTGGAAAAATGATCTTTGCACTGTTAGAGGTAAAATTGAAATTTCACGAACAGTTTAGGAGCGGTAATTTTCAGGCGAGCGGCATTAAATTCGATTTAAGGGGAAAATAATCGTGAAATTTCAAATTTCATGGAAATGCCAATGGAATCCGAGATTTTTTACCAGGAATACACGAAATTTTGCAACTTGCTCTTCAATCAAAACAAATATTCAGTACCGAATTACACTGAATTTTAACTGAGTGTAAATTCCAGAATATATTTAACTGAATATTCCAGATTTTTATCAATTTTTAAGGAATAAGTCACCGAAAATTCCCACTTTCCATTAATTTTTTTGGAAAACTTTGAGTTTTCAATAACGAAATTTATTGAAATTCCATTGGGACTATCACTTGATAATAATTTACAAAAAGTGCACCGCAAATTTCAGCCAAAAATTTTAAAGTGTAGATTTTAAAATTTTTAATACTCTAATTTTTTAGTTCAATTGCACGAGAAAAGTCTGAAGAAATTCATCAATTATAAACATCAAATTACAGCCATATTACATTCTCCAAGACATCAGCTTTTTAAAAAAAAATTCGTTCTCATGAATAAATAATAGCAATTATTAGAATCTTCAGAAATCTATGTAAGGAAATTAAAGATAACACAACCTTTTAATTCCTTCTCCACGTCCTACCACGAACGAAAAAAATTAATAGAAAAAAATATCGAATTCGCTAGATGATTCTATTGGATTTCAACAAAATTTAAATTTTCCATTAGTTTTCGGGCGATTCTATTGAAATATTCAACAAAAAATATTCTATATAAAAATTCAATAGAATTCAATTTTTCTAGGCAACTTATTCTATTGAGACATTTTTTATAGAATATTGACTATTGAACATTTCAATAGAATCGTCTGAACCTAATAGAATTGTCTAGCGAATTCGCTAGGTTTTTCTATGATTTTTTTTCATACGTGACTATCGCCTTCAATATTTCGAAAAATTGATTATTTGCACAAATAATGTGGACGACGAATGAATATCAACTTTCTATGAAGGTAATAATATTTCAGCTCATCTTGCCCTTCGCCTACTCTTTGAAACCATTCCCCATCGGAATAATTTACTATTTGAACTCTCATCGAGTGCATGTGCAAAATGGTGTGAGACAATATTTTACAAAATAAGTAAAAATGAAAATAAAACAAAATATTTATTGTGTGGGACAATATTTAAAAAATTTCCCACTATCAAAGCTAAAAAATCGACTTGTCATGTTTCACCACTTCGTCTCGGACGAAAAAAAATCATAAATCAAGTGAGTCAGTTCTTCACTACTTCGGACCAGCGAGATGTTCCAACTGTTGAGTCTACATAAAGTCTAACAGGTACACGCTTGTATGAAATACATGAACACGCGTTGCGCGCAAGAGTGATGTCTGTCCCACGTGCTCAAAGTTTATACCATGCAATAAGGACTGTAATCAGGGGGTATTAAGTTAAACGCCCGGGGACCGCCGTGTGCCTCAATCGCCTGGCGTTCAAGCGTCGTACTTGTGTATTCCAGTCATCTCGCACCGAATGAGCTCATCCCACCGAAAATCGGTTCATTTTTTTCGTCCTATTTTCGTCTTTATTGAGGAGAGAAAATACTTAAATTGAGAATATCCTTCCTTAATTCAGCAGAGGACAATTTTTTTTCATTTCACGCGTTGACCGTATTTAAAATTGCAAATAATTTCAAGAAAGAAGGACCCATTTTGCCCCAGTATTGTCGTTAATATGAAAAAATATGTTTCTAAAATAATTACGCAAAATAAGTTGTTCCTTTTTTAATTTTTATTCCATTTTCATGTTCAATGCAGTCACTTCGCAAACTAGAAAAATTGCACGTGTTTGAAAATTTAATAGAAAAAACTAGCGCATTGGCTAAACAAATCTATTGAATTTCTGTTGAACTTTCTATTAGTTTTTGGCCGATTCTATTGAAATGTTCAACAGAAAATATTTCGTAGAAAAAGCGATAGAATCCTATTTTTCTATAGAACTTATTTTATTCAGATATTTCACAAATTCTCTAAGTTTTTTGTTTGATTTTTTTGATGAAGTGAAAAAAATAGAATGAAAAAAGTCTGAAAATTTGAGCCGAAGAAATTCTATAGAAAATATTTCAATAGAAAAAGTTGTTATTGTTGTTCTACATTTTCTATTGAACATTTCACCAGAATCGGCCAAAATTAATCGAAAATTGAATAGAACTCCAATAGAAATGTTTAGTGAATTCTATCCATCTCGGACTAAATGAGCTTATCCCACCAAAAATCTGTCCACTTTTATGCTTTAAGAAGATTATTGAGGAGAGAAAATTATTCCCAAAGCTTATCCTACCAAAAATTTATCCATTTTTTCTCTTTATGAAGATTACAGAAGAGAGAAAATTCCCAAGTTGAAAAAACCCATTTTGTCTCAGTGTTGTCGAAAATATGCAAAAACATATTTCTCAAATAACTACGCAAAATAAGTTGTTTCTCTCTTAATTCTCCATTTATTATCATGTTCAATCCAACCACCTCGCAAACTAGAAAAATCGCCCGATTATATATTCGATCATATTCAACTCGTTAATAGTCAACGAATCTCGTTTGGAATAAGCCAATCATTCTATCAGTGTGTGGGAACCAAAATTCAAGTCAATCCATTAAAAATCCTGGTAAGCGGACTATTTTAAAGATTTACAGTCACCTGTTGTCATTGGAAACAAATTGAAGCTTGAGTTTTCCTCATTTTTTGAATATAAAAAAGGGCCTGTCATCTGTACGATAAAGACAACCCCCTGCAACTTTCTTAAATTTCCTCGCGGTATTGTATTGCCATTCATCCATTCGCGTTTTTTTTTCTCCTCCCAGTCAAGTAACTTTCAATCCAAAAAAACACGATTGATAAATAAATTAAAAGTGAAAGTTCGCGTGTTTTTTAATCACTGCAGGCGTGTGCGTCGGCACCAGCTGAAGAATTACGAGTGCACAAAAATAATAATGTGATTGAGTTGCGTTTGTTTGGAGGGGGGGGGGATGAGGGGGAGTAGGCGGAGGAGGAGAGAAAGTGGTGGATGGAGGGAGAATAGATGGAGGAGATGAGAAACGGCGAGATGTGAGGAAGATGCAGACGCGCATGGGTTACGTCGACGGCCGATTCGAGTAAAAATAAAGAGATGAGAATTTTAAACGATTAGCCCCATTTTGTGCTGTATGTTGCTCTCTTTGTGTAGGAATTTTTTTAGGGCAACCATTAAAGATTGTAATTCTATGGTTTTACGTACCCCTGTGACGACTACGGACAGGCAGACCACGGTTGCGATGAATCTGTAATAAAAAATTACAGAATAACAACTGTTGGGAATTTTGTTAGGCGAACAGAACAATTAAAAATAAAATTATTTCATTGAGATATTTTTGTAACACTCTATTTTGCATTCCTGTAATTAACACAACTAACATTATTCTGCCACGACATTTTGTAATCCACACAAAAAAAACTAAAAATAGAATCATTCCATTTTAATATTTTAATTTGCATTCACATCCGACATTTTAATGCGCAAATCAGAGATAAATCCATGCCATCAAAATTATTCGCCCCTCACTGGAATGATCATGCACAACTGCCCTCGCAATCTCCACCAGACACCGGACACGGCATAACCTGCAGCTTAAGCCCCCAATCCCCAGCCGCTCCCCGAATAAAAAAATCCCCGAAGAAACAGTTGTCCCGCGAAATTTATCGATGAAGATCGAAAACCCGTGGCCGTCGGGCGCACGATCTCGCGCTGCGCGCATGTACGAATCGAAAACCCGCTGGACGAAGGAAGAGGAGACCACGAAAGAGACGAACTAAAAAGACGAGACGAGGTTGATCCCAAGTCGCAAAGGGTACGGATGAAAATAAGCCAAAACAAAAGTGCAAATAATAGAAATAAAAGTAAACGTGAGGACCCTTCTAGGAAGCCTCGGGAGCCCGAAACCCGGCGATTGCCCATCAGTGCGATTCCGTCCTTGGAGTTAACTTTAAACTTTTTCCGTCCAAAACCCGGAGGGCCCTAACGAGCCCGCGAGCGCACGAAAAACTCCCCCGAAAAATCGACTTCACGTCGCGCGAAATCGCTTTCACGCGGAAAAAAACAAAAAAAAACCGCACAAAAATTATCGTCAAAAATCGTTGTAAAAACTTACCGCAATGCCGACCGGGTCATGTTAACCACCCTATTATCACCTCCCTGGGTGTCGGAGGTACCTCAACTCTTGACACTACAGTTCCTCCAGTCCGTGAACCGTCCCATCCAAGGAAGGCTCTGAATGAAACCGTTCCGGAGGGAAGGTGGAGGCGGAATCGCGTTAGCCACGCCAGTTAAAAATTCCTCCGCCGAAACGCAACTCCGAGGAGTACAGTACGGGGAGGGCCTCACCTCCGCGAGTCCTGGCCTCCTGGGCCCCGACCGGCAAGCCCTCGACAAAAACGGCCCCAAAAGAGCCCGCACGCCGTCAAAAATCCCGTCCTGCGCATACAGCGCCGATTCCTCCCGAAGAGTGAAGTACTCCTAACAAACGTCGAATCGTTCCCCTCGCGCTTTACTTCAGCGCGCCCGCCGACACCGATTCCCCGGGTTGTTATAGCCAAACGCAAAGCGCCTCAACTCTGGTGGCCCTCCCGATATTTTACATTGGCGCACAACGGCTAACCGAGGCGCGCTCAATGCTTGATCGCGGTCGCGCATCTTCCCGTGACTGCTGTGCGGCCCCTCAACGGCGCAACATTGACTTCACATGGGCAGCGCACTCTTGTCCAAACACGCCAAGAGTACGAAGGGGGGAGTGGGGGGAGCGGTTAAACCGCTGTTCGTATTCTCGATTGACTCCGCCGGTCCACGGGCGTGCACCACCGTGTGTACCAGCGCGCCAAACGTTGCCGAGCACCACGACCCCGCGCGCGGTTTTTCCCGATATCTCTCGTCGAATAGGCAATAGTCACCGGAGGGAGTGACAAAGAGGCCCCTGATCCTGTCCATTTTCGGCTCATCCGTCGTCCTCACGCTCTGGAACAGCTCAAACACCGCTGGCCATCGCCTGTTGTGCCCCGCCGGGGGGGAGGGAGGAAGCCGAAAAGAGGAGTAAATCGGCGGAGGCGTCTCGCTGCGCTCGTTGGTTTCAACTTGCTGGGTAAACTCGCCCCGGCGCACTCCGAGATTTCGTGCGAACTGTTAACCCGTGGTCTGGACAACCCAGGCATGTCGAGGTGCTAGGGCACACGGCTGAGGCGAGGTTTTTTTCTCTGTTGGAAATTGGGGACATTGTTGGGGCGGTTTGAGGGACGATATGTGGCCCGGGGGTGGTGACATCGCCTCCTGCGGCAGACGGAGAATGCACCTGGTGACACCGGTTGTCATCTGCATCGTTGGGATTCTGGTTGGGTGGCAGGCGCCGGCGACTGAGGCTGTGGTGAGTTTTTAGTTTGTTCATGGGGTTTATTTTGGTGGGATCAGCTGATCTGCGGGGCGACAGGTTACCTTGACATCACGTGGGGCGGGAGCGGTTGAGGCCGAGCGCAGGCGATCGATGGATCAATTGTCAGTTGTCGGGATCGATTGCGATTGGGAAGTGACTTCACGTTTTGGGGGATATCTCAGAAACTAAGAGGGGTAGCAAAATTTTTGTTAAGACCTTTTTTATAGGGCTTGGTTTTTCCCGCAAAAAATGTTTTTACGAAAATTTTGATAGCTCGTTCGTGTTTCGAGATATTCGCGAAAAAGTTATTTTGGAAGAAGTGGAATTGTCTTTTCTCAGCTGTTCTCACTTGACGACTGTTTGATTCATCTTTCCGGAATTAAAATAGAACCATTTGTCTATTCTTCGTAAACAGATGATGTTGTCACGTCAGTAACCGCGTGGATCTCCAGCTGGAGGGGAAAATCCCTCGAGAGTTAGAAGTGACGAAGGAGATCGACGAAAAAAACGTGAAATACGGTTGTGACTGTTAATTCCTCGGAATTAGTCGTCTAGTGTCGACGGCAGTCGTTCTCACCCACGCGTTATGCGATCCCCCACACGTGTACATTGGAGTCAGCTATTTTCGAGTATCAGCTCACTCTGCTCTCGTTTTCTTTATTCAACTTGTTTTCCTTTAGATTCAATAGACTCTGAAGAGGCTTCATCGAAGTCACTTGGCCGAGCGATTTCGATGCCCGATTGCGCGGGTGGCTTTTGAGTTTATATCAAACCACTTGTGTGGGACAATATCATTGAAACGGGGAGGTTAAAATCCATTGAGCGCAACGAGATGAAGAAGATTGGTCGGATTGCTGGGGATAATGGGGCAGAGAGTCTTCAAAGGAGTGCATGTGAATGAAAAAAGTCGAGTCATACCCCCTCTTTGTGGCCACATGACTATTTCAACGCAGGGATTATCGCGCTTTGTCGTATCATTACTCGGGGTTCATTTTTTTTGTCGCGGCTGGATTTACTTCAGTGGTGGTTAGAAATTACGTGTAGAGAAATTACCTATTGGAAACAAATCAAACTTTTGATTTTAGTTATTAAAAGATGAAGAGTTTAATAAAATAGAAAGATAAATGAAATAAGTAATCGTAGAATAAAATTCTTTGTTTGAAATTTTTCGATTTACTTCGTCAATATTGTTGTTGGGAATTAATAAACTTAGATATTTATTACAATGAAGGAGTTATTATTACAGAATTATTACATATTAATCAATTTGTTCTCTTTAATTTTAACGCGGGATTCTTGCGTTGGGTCGTTGTATTATCACTTAGGGTCAACATTTTTTTTGGGAAGGGGTGGATTATCTTTCAATGCTATTTAGAAATTACGTATAAAGAAATTATTTATTGGAAACATATCAAACTTTTGATTTTAGTTATCAAAAAATGAAGAGTTTAAAAAATAGAAAAATGGATGGAATCCGTAATTATCGAATAACACTTTTTATTATTGAAATTTTTCGATTCATTTCGTCAATATTCTTATTGGGAATTAATAAACTTAGATATTTATTGCAATGAAAACGTTTGGATGTTAGGGAATAAACAATTGATTAATTCATTATAATAATTATTACATTTTTTTATTCGTAAGAATTCTTACATGTTGATAAATTTCTCTTTAATTCCAACGCGGAGATTATCGCGCTTTGTCGTCGTGTCATCGGGGTTATTTTTTTTTGGTCGCGGTTGGATTTACTTTCGATAATATTTGAAAATTAAATTATTATTAAAATTCTGCCCAACGGGGCTAGCGCACTGCGGTGATGGGCAGGCCTTGTTTTTGTTAAGCTAAGCAGCGCTGAGTGTGGTCACTAGATGGATGGGTGACCGCGCGGGAGAACACCTCAGGGAAGAAACATTGTTTATATTATTAAAATTCTAAGATTTAATTGAATTTTTAATTAATTTTTTAAAATTTAAATCAACCATTGATCCGAATGTAGGTTTTTTTAAAGAATATTCAAGTCGGCCGTTTTTCATTCATGGAAATATTCACCATCATTTTTAGTTAGAATAGACCAATTGTATAATATTTTATTGTTCGAACTTTCAGGATCTAAATAGAAATTTCCCGTGTAGAAGCGTCAGAAAACATTTGAAAAATCTGAAAAATAATATAGAAAGACTCTTTAACATACGAATGATGGCAAAAAATCTTTAAATCTATACGGAGAGAAGTTCTCTAGAAAACAGGGCGCAAAGTGATGGCCAGGAATAAATTCCACTACTGGCACTGAAAATTTTATTGGGTAGCACGTCAATTTTTCTCAAACTTGAATAAATTTTTGAAGTCTCCAAAAATTTTACCCGAAAGTCCTAAAAATTTCCCCCAACAGCACTAGAGTTTTTCATAGACAGTCGATTGTGATTTTTCCAGTATTCCTCGAATTTTTCTAAAGAATTTCTCTCCATGTAGCGTATGGTCCGCACAGAGCTGTAAATCAAGAGTATGGTATCTACTGTGAAAATGAAGAGGCGTTAAATGCACAAAAGCCAACAGCATCCAAATGTATAAATGTCAACCGGAAAAATGATTGATGAATATCGTAAGAACTGAGAGCCGGTACAGTAGAGAATGATACTCGCTGTCAGACGGCGCAATGCACATTCTTTCCTGAACGCTAGACAAGCCCCTCTGTCCGGGATTCCCCGCGTTCGGTCGTTCATTCTTCTTCCATTACGATTCTTCCACTCGACTATTGGGTTGAACAATTCTGCAAAAATTTGATTTCATCAACTGCAATATCTAGAATACAATGGGGTGTTTTTAGTTCATATAAAATAAATTGAAAGTTCACATAAAAAAAAATTAACGGGATGTTTAAATCCTATAACATGACGATTTAATCTCGTAAAAATTCGCATGAAGCAAAAATTTGTTGAGACAATATCTCTCCCATTTGCATCAATTGCTCATTCCATTACATCATTCGGTATTTACGAATTACTGTAATTGATGTTACAAACTACTACCACATACCTCTGCTATCGTATAACACAATTTTTATCGCCGGTCAGAGTTTTATGCCCCCTCGATTCAATTCAATATGAATTCATGGAAATGAACTAGCTTCATGTTCCATTAATAATAATCGTGGGAGAATGAATGGATGGCTTCAAGCGCTCCCGATATGATAAGGGGAGTAAAGGGTCCACAGACTGAGGAGTGATAAGAGAATAAGTTACTGGCATTCGTTGAATTTTCTTGATTAAGTCACTTTTACTATTATTGGGGGACTCTTTCGAGATGAATTCCGTTGTTGCGCACACAGCAAAAGCAAATGTCTGAATTTCACACACCTTTTGTAGAAATTTTTCAGACACTAACGAACGTCTGAATAAAATGAAAATTTGTCTCAATTTCATACGAACAGGTGCTTAAACATCTTAATTCTTGTTTGAAATTCAGACAAATTTTCATTTTATTCTGACTTTTTTTTTGTCTGAAAAATCTCTACAAACGGTGTGTGAAATTCAGATATTCGTTTTTGCTGTGCATGTGCGCGCGGTAGCTTGCGCTTAAGGATATCCCAGCATTTTGCAGTTTAGCACATACCGCACTGTAAATTTAAGAATTTTCAATCATCGCATTTGCCAATTAAATTAGTTGAACAAAGTTTAAAAAAAATCATGAATATTCAGCGTCATTCAAGTTACCCTTTGCGCAGAATTATTATTCTTTTAAACACTCGTTGTTTATCAATAAATAATCGAAAATGTTTAAATTTTTGTAAACTTTATGTTTTAGGCATGAAATTGATTTCTGCTAAAATTCTGGATATAAACTCAATCAATCAATCATCATTCATTGACACTGGAAAATACAACTCATTACTCTGAGCACCCTGATTTGATGTCACGTCCTGCGCCAATGCTCACACTCTATTCACTGAATCCCATTGGTTAGAATACATTCACAATTCTCAAGACGCATTCAATGAAATTTATCTTAAGACTGTACACAGAACGTGGCCCAACGTATTCAACCCCTTGAACTCTCAACGTTATCTCTGATAATTCGATATCGAGGTCTGCATCTCGTGTCCCATGTATTTCGCAACGATTGCGTCCACTCTTACCCTTAATAAAAATTCCGAAAATAAGTACCGAGAAATAGGGCAACTGGTCTGATTACAGAAGTTTAACTAATCATGTCTATACTATGTCATCACGACTTCGCGATAAGTTGCGCTGGCTGGTCACCGTTTTAGGTGACATCATGTGTGGAAAAATTCGATAGAAATCCTAACGCATTCGGCAGAATAAAATTCAATTTTATTGAAATCCTTTCTGCACTCAAAATATTGGCTGCTAAATTTCAAGTAAATGGTGGTAGTTATTGCTGAAGGAGTTTCATTAAACGATTAATAATTTTTCATTTGGAATTGATGAATTATTCACTTCAAATAATCAAAACATTTGCATTCAAATAATTTTCGACTGAAGATAAAGACCATAGATGTTGATTTTCATAGAGTCCTATTCATATTTGCCGCTCGTTAACTTCATTGAATGCGTCTTGAGAATAATCAATGGGCTTCAGTGAATACAGTGTATCGGCATTAGCGGAGCACGTCACACCAAATCAAGATGCTCGGAATAATCAGTAGTATTTTGCAATGTCAATGAATGAAGATTGACAATTGGTACAACAATGTACCATCTCTTGATTAGTTTATCATTTCCCACACTCAGAGAAATGATTTGATTGAATCGAAAAAACTTCATTTTAATTAAATAAATGGGTTTCTTCGAATAATTCGTGATAAAGCATTTATTCAATATTTTTATTTACGTGAAATGAATAGTTTCTTAAATATAAATGTCTTCTTCATTAAAGCAAAAGACTTTATTAGTTAGGAATTAATTTAACAATTGACAATCTTTCACTTGGAATTCATAAATTATTTATTTTCAATAATCAAAATATTTATATTC